TATCTTTATTTTTCTCGATATAATTGAGATTCAATGATTAAGACCAAAATAGCATCTGTTGGTCGTGCAAATTCTGACCAAGGTATACAAATTCGTTAACTGCTTTGATGACGTCGTTTTCTATAACGCTATTTTCATATACTTCGTTTTGTTGTTTTTTATTATTAAACTCATTTTTAATTACTATTAAACTGGGAATAAGCCACAATTAAAGATAAAAATACGTTTATTGACGTTTCAATTTCCACTTCGGAAATCGTTCTCAAAATACAAACAGTAAATTAAACAAATTTTGTTTTTTGTTACATAGTGAAAAATTCTTCTAATAATTTAACTTTATCTGACTCATTTATATTGACAATTCAGACATACATTATGCATTTTAAAGTAGACGACTTTAAAATGATATTGCCAATATTGTTGAGTTGCGCTTCTGGGACGACTTTACTTATAAGATAGTTCATTCGATTACATGAAATCAACTTGAACTTGAGAATATCCGTCAGAAAAAATCATAGCATGTAATTCGTCTTTAAAAAGACAAACATATGACATGATGATAGTAAAATTCTCCTGTTAGTGATTCCATAGTAAATTATGAGGGAAAACCAGGAAAAAACCTCATAATACTATCCCGACATTGTAAGTATTTGTTCGTGAATTTAGTTTACCTTCAACAAACATCAAAATTCTGATTTTATATGTTACGTTATTTAAAAAACATAAATGATGTATCCTCTATATGTTACTGACTTACTAATACTGGTATTTTCTTATTAATAACTTCCTCTTTCAATATTGGTAACCAGATCCTACTACATTCTGCCGAAGAATTTGCGACACAATTGGCTTCATTTAACATAATTAGAGCCGCTTCTTTGATTTTTCTTTTTTTACCATCCGTTTCTTTTAGGACTACATTTGAATTACTCCATTGAACCCTATGTTCATTATCCCATGCGTGTTTACAGATTTGAGATCTATCAAATTCTTTATTTTTAATATAAGATTGATGTTCACTTATTCTAACATTTAATGGCCTTGATGATTCACCTAAATAAAACTGATCGCATTCACAAGGTATTTTATAAATGTAATTCTTTGTCCTTTCTTGTTCATTGTTAGGTTTGGTTTTGGACAAAATAGATCTCAACGTGTTTGTTGTTTTGAATGTTGTTGAAATGTTGAATTTATTTCCTATCCTTTTAAGTTTTTCTGATAGTCCTTTTATGTACGGTATTATTATTTTCCTCATATTATTCCTTGTGTATGCTGTAGGATCTCGTTCTAAGTTGTTCTGTTCTATTCGATCGATTGTAAAATACCAGTATTAGTAAGTCAGTAACATATAGAGGATACATCATTTATGTTTTTTAAATAACGTAACATATAAAATCAGAATTTTGATGTTTGTTGAAGGTAAACTAAATTCACGAACAAATACTTACAATGTCGGGATAGTATTATGAGGTTTTTTCCTGGTTTTCCCTCATAATTTACTATGGAATCACTAACAGGAGAATTTTACTGTCATCATGTCATGTGTTTGTCTTTTTAAAGACGAATTACATGCTATGATTTTTTCTGACGGATATTCTCAAGTTAAAGTTGATTTCATGTAATCGAATGAACTATCTTATAAGTAAAGTCGTCCCAGGAGCGCAACTCAACAATATTGGCAATATCATTTTAAAGTCGTCTACTTTAAAATGCATAATGTATGTCTGAATTGTCAATATAAATGAGTCAGATAAAGTTAAATTATTAGAAGAATTTTTCACTATGTAACAAAAAACAAAATTTGTTTAATTTACTGTTTGTATTTTGAGAACGATTTCCGAAGTGGAAATTGAAACGTCAATAAACGTATTTTTATCTTTAATTGTGGCTTATTCCCAGTTTAATAGTAATTAATTTACAATGCCACAAGAAAATAGCTTCAGAACAATATTAAGAAACTTATTTTTGTAGTTGTTTCTTTTAATGCTACATACGCATCTCTTACAGCATTTTCCGTTCTCCCAACAATATTGATATCATCAGCATAGGCAAGGATTTGCATTATATATTGAACCAATGGTTGTGATTTGTGACATACGTATTATTTTTTTCAGAGTAAGTGTTCCAGAAATGAACATGTTGTTTTTGTAAATGTAATTCTTTAGACTTTTCTTAGTGTAGAATAACTATAACAGTCAGTTTATCAAGTTTGAACGCGACACCCGACGGACTGGCGTCTGACCCTGTTAAATATTTTTCACACCTAAATAAAATAGGGGTAATATTCCCGTTCACGCATTATGTAGTGTTTTATCAGTACAAGTTTACGCATGGTTATTGAGGCATCGAGTAGTTAAAAGCTCGCAATTCACGTATAAAATATACTCTCTCCGCCGAAATCGGGCCATTTCTCATAACGGTGCTTCTTTTACGTGTTATATAGAAAGAGTACATTTGATATTGTATAGTAAGTTACGGCCGTGTTGGGTCTCTCTACTCTGAAGAGATTTAATTATAAATCAATAAACTCAAAAGTGATTTTATTTCTCTGGAGCTTTATTTGCTCACATTAAGAATCCTTATTCTTCAACGGTCACTGAAGAACCAAACCTATGGAGATGCATCCATTCACAACTCCTTTGAAGTAAGGCTTGGAATCCAAAGATTTCCAACTCTCGTGATGTAGGTAGCCAGGTACAAGGCTTCCTCATCTCGTGGTCAGGAGAGAGGGTCTCCCTGGGACAGCCCGTTATTTGTTTTAAAAGGTTCAGACAGTTCCCCCTGAATTCGTACTCTATAGTCAACTCTTTTAAGAGTTGGTTTTGTCAAATTTACCAACTGATTTGGTATTCGTATGTCTTTCATTGCTTTGACATTTCCCTTCTATTTACAGAGTCGTAGGCGGGTTTGTAGCCTATAAATATGTGATAAGTATCTATGCCATATTCCAGTGTTTTTTCTAAAATTTGTTTCAGGGTTGCAATCTGATGCAAGCGTAATTCCTCTGTGGTTAAAGCATTCAAAGATATCTCCATTTTTGTGTATGATGCAAAGTATTCCAATATTCCAATCAGTGGGGAGTGATTTCTGTGTCCATATTTCTTTTATAAGCTGCTGTAATGCCATTATGGTATCGTGGCCACCTTCTTTTTATAGTTCGGCTGGGAGTTTATCTATTCCGGGTGATTTATTTCTGGCTACTTTTTTAACTGCATCTTTAACTATTGAAGTTAAAGATTAATAAAAAGAAACAAGATATTTATCTAGGATTGTCTGGTTAATTTTTTGTAGTTTTGCCATTTCGTTATCTGGTTCATTAGCTTGTCTGTATTTTTTAATTCTTTTTCTATATAGGTTTGTATCTGGTGCCTGGTGTCTTCATTTTTTAATGGTCCTAAATCGTATTTTCTTGCTTTTGCACTCTCCAGCTTCTTCAGCTTTAGTCTGATGTTAACTACCAGTGGATTATGGTCCGAGCCGATATCAGCACCAGGATATGTTTTGGCTGATATGATTGAGTTTCTGAATATTTTATTCACCATAATGTAATCAATTTGGTTTCTAAATGATGTGATCTGAGGTGTCTTGAGGTCTCCACGTATATATCTCCTATCTGGTAGTTTAAAGAAAGTGTTGGTGATTACCAGTTGTTAGGCGATTATTATCAGGCGATTTTCGCGTTCGTTTCGTTCCCCATTCCAAAGGATCCTACGGTTTCTCCACATCTACCCTTTCCCACTTTGGCATTCAAGTCTCCTATAAGCATTTTTATTTCGTTTTTGTAAAGATTTTTCAGAACACTCATTAGTTCCGAATAGAAAGTTTTGATCTCTTCGTCTGATTTGTCTGCAGTAGGTGCATATACCTGGATTATGTTGGTCTTAACAGGGAAGGTGTTAAACTGAATAAGGAGTATTCTCTCTGAGATTGGGACGAAGTTTGTGACGTATTTAGGGATGTTCTTATTCACTATGATATCAACTCCGGTAATATGTAGGTATTCGCTATTTCCGGTGTAATAAATCTGGTGGTCATGTACTGTGCACTGTCCAGATTCAGTCCAGCGCATTTCACTTACACCCATTATGTCGATAGCAAGTCTATCGATTTCCTTAATGGCATTGTATGTCTTTCCCTCCTCGTACATTGTTCCCACATTCCACGTAGCGATCGTAATTGTTGATCTGTGGAGTTTTAATGAACAGGGATTTGTCTGGTTGACGACCTGGGGATCCCTGTTATCCTTGTTATATCTCCCCCTGCCGGATCTTGGTATCCAAGAACCATGGTCAGTAAACTGTGACGTATTAATACTAATACTTGCCATGCTAAGGGACTAGGGATGTTTAATGAGGTAGTTTCCTCTTGCTTTCCTCATCGCAATGTAGGAGCCATTAAAACTGTTTTAGTCATGCCTCCTAGTGTCCAATGATGAGCCGGTCCATGATACATTCCTATCCATATCTACCATATGTACTCCAGTATTTTTTCTAAAATTTGTCTTTGGATGAAATTACTCAAAATCTGGATAACTGGTGAAAATTAATATCATTGCTAACTAAATCTTCGCTAATTATTGTAGATAATGCTTCATGTCATTGGTCTTCCATACAAAATTAATAATTTTTCTTAAACCAAAATACGCACTCGACATGTTCACTTATTGTTCAATAGATTACTGTGCATTTTAACCATTTTTAACTTTTTTCCACTTTTATGTTTTGCTTTTTAGCTTACTTTTAATCTGCGTTATGTCGTTTAAAATTTCTTTATAATGTTATTAAATTCCCCAAATCTTATCATTAATTATCATCATAATCGCATATGTAAATGTTTTCAATTAATAACAATATCTACATGCATAGTTCTTTATTGAGTGATTTTTATATCGTGTTATCATTTTATCTGTTGAGGTAATATGTAGTTTTTTTTTCTAAAACAGTATTTTATACACTATTGTATATGTCACACCAGTATTAAATGTGTAAATTGTGGAAGTAATGGTATTTTGTGGTTTGTGTTGCAGTGATAAAGAGAGTGTGAACAATGCGGAAATCTCTGAAATTGTATATATAGGGTAAATATTGAAGTATTCATAACCTACTGTAGAATCAAACAAAATTTGAAAAGTTCTGTTTTCTTACAATTTGATGCATTTTTGTATACAATTTTGTGTTTGACCTTAGGGTAGGTCTGTTTCTTCAAATACCTTGGCCAACTAGGCCACTATCTAACTTGTGGAAACTCATTAAGACGGCAAGGTTGGATGATAAAATTGTCCAGTCCTGTGGACGAATCCCATTCTGCAAGTAGCTAATCTGGCTGTGCAGGCCTTCCACGGGTAGTCCATCGTGCACGGGCATTGGTTACATTAGCAGGTGGTTCATGCCCCGTCGTTGACCGCATGTGTATAAGGTGTTATTTTCAATGAGCTGACTCTATTTTGCTGTGTTGGTCTTCACAGCGGCCACGCCGATCTGATTTGGTTCAGCATTGCCTATGTCCTCTAGTCGCAGTTTAAACCAGTTGGTGTGTTTGGTTTCGGAGGATACCAATACCAGAATCAATAGTGATTAATAAAAAGAACATACAAAATTATTTTTTGGTAGGCTAATATCTTCTTCTTCTTCAAGTGCCATCTCCGCGGTGGAGGTCGGCAATCATCATAGCTATTCGAACTTTTGAGACGGCTGCTCTGAATAGTTCTCCACGTGTAATATGTCCGAGATATTCTAATTTTCTTGTTTTTACTGTATTTAAAATTTCCGTTTATTTATTCATTCTTCCCAGAACCTCTTGGTTTGTGACGTGTTCTGTCCACGATATTTTCAATATTCTTCTGTACACCCACAGCTCGAATGATTCCAGTTTTTTCATTGATCGCATTCAAGATCCAAGATCTGCTATTCAGGTCACCAGTCTCTGAAGATCTTCAATGTTTTCGGCTATGATCACAGTGTCGTGCGCATATCTAATGTTGTTAATGGGAACTCCATTTACATTTATTCCAGCTGTTTCACCCTCAAGAGCATTTTTCAGGATCTCTTCGGAGTAGGCATTAAAAAGAATTGACGACAATACGCATCCCTGTCTCACTCCACACCTAATTTCAATTTCTTCTGACAGCTGTTCGTTAATACGTACTTTTGCTCGCTGTTTATAATATAAATTTGAAATGATCCTGAGGTCGTTGTAGTCAATCTTCTTTGATTTCAGGACATTCATTAATTGTTTATGTCGTACTTTATCGAATGCTTTATTATAGTCAATAAAACATGTATATATATATATATATATATATATATATATATATATATATATATATATCTTGATTGACGTCCAGGCATCTTTGTATCAGTATATTAAGTGAAAAAAGAGCTTCACGCGTTCCTAGGCCTTTGTGAAAACCAAATTGTGTATCAACGTCTATGTCCAGTTTGTGATATATTCGGTTATGGATGACTTTAAGTAGTAACTTATATGAAACATCAAGCTAATGGTGCGGTAATCGCTGCATTCTCTTGCGTTTTTCTTTGTAGGGAGACAAATAAAAATCGATGTTAACCACTCTTTGGGTAATACGAATGAACTATAAATTTGGTTCAAGGTGTCACTAAAACATCAATGTGCCTCTCATCTAGAATTTTTAGGATTTCTATAGGAAGCATGTCAGGATCAGGGCTTTTCCCACCCTTCATTGTTTTTAATACGTGTAATATTTCTTCTTTTGTAATATATGGACCTATTTCTTCTGACTTAAGCTCTATGTGCTCCAGATCTCCTCTTTCACCATCGAACAATTCGTCGATATATTCTACCCATCTTAAACTAATTAGGCTAATATAGGCCTAACCAAACTTTATATTGACAATGTGACGTCCTTCAGCATGGTGACTACGCTACTAACAATCCGTAGAAATAAGTGATTTCATGGTCTCATTAAATTATGCTTTTTTCGATGACTTAATATTGCAAAATGTAAGTTCGCTAGTTACGTTAACTAATGTACTATAAAGGTGAAAAATCAATCATTATACTGCATAAAGATGAAAAAACCTCAATTTTACTTATCGCTGCAATAAGAAAAAATACGGGGCAGTAATAGATACTAAATTACTGTTCATACTTTACAAAAAATATCCAATAAGGATTTTTTAACACAATATTGATATCAAAACACGCGAAATATAGTTGTATGGATTCGCCATATTTACAAATTTAGATTACTATGCCAATGTTACTAAAACATATAAAATGTTCTTAAGTGATTTTTCCCATTTGGACATTCCTCCACAGAAAATAAATTTTATTTAACTGTTGTTAGTCATAAATATTTAATTTCCGCAAACCAGTTTTTGTATGCTTGAAGTTGGCGTTTTATGAACGATGTTTAATCAATTTCTCCATCATTTATGGTATTGTTTGTTACGGATGTGGTGTTTAAATACTTTTGTAAACAGTAATTATATAATAGTGTTATTATTTTAAACAAAAATAATAATAGACAACATTGCAAGAAAATATTATTAGGTTATTATATACTCTCTTAAGCCGGGATCCCGGAACGTGGAACGTACTGTGAAATTAATAAATACATATTTACTTTTTGATAAATTCATTCGACCTACCCCAAAATGATGTTGGATCATTCCAATGGAGCGTGTCCCTCGAGTATCGAGGGTTTAGTTTAGTCCATTGTACGCCACCAGGGTTGGCGGTAAAAATTTTAGTAAGATAGGTAATTTATGCAATGATAAAAATTCCATCACAACTTCGTTAGACCACTCCATAGTAAAACTACCACGACACTGACCGTGCCAGCCTGTTACCGCGTTGGGGGGATAAGTAACTGCTGTACATCAGCTTCCGACCTTCCTTTGAACCGTGTTGACTTGATGCGACAAATGACGGGACTGCCTGCTTCGACTATAAATCAGACAGGTTCGACCTCTTTCACAGATCGTAAACCACAAATATTGACGGAAAGAATCGTGTAACCATTGAAAGACCCATCAGAAACGGTGGGTGCCATTGGGTAACAATAACTACCTTCGAAAGTTGGGTGGTAGTAATAGTACTAATATAGAACAATAAAACTCACAACTTTCTTTGGGAGCCAACTGTTAGGCCTCGTTTAGCTCAGTGTTTGAGGTATGAGAACGTCTTCTCTCAGACGTTAATTTGAAAAATGAGTTTAGCTGGGACAAATAAACCAAGATTACCAAACCAAATAATTATATTTATTATACATAAATAACTATACAAATTGAAAATTTTAATATTAAATTAAAATTTAACAAAATCACAGAGCAAATCTTGCCTGTAAGCTTTACAAATATAAAATGATACTTATGGCATCACTGGATAACTTGTTGGCTTCACAGGATTGTAGAATGCAGTGGTTAGTTGCTGTTAATGTAGTTGTATTTGGATATTTTCATCTTCATGTGGTCATTGGGTTCTACTTAGCAGCTGCAGTTATTGCTGCATGGTCGATCATGTTGCAGAATTCTTCAGCCAAAAAGGTAGATAAAAATTAGATACATATCAAATATTTTTTTATCCTTTAAACAAAGGTCTTTGTTATATCGGATCCTCAACTATAGAGAAAACAACTAGTATTGAAGGCTTGAGATATTTTAGTAGTATACACTATAATAAATTGTAATTTTTTAATCTCATGAACTCTTATAGGAGATCTACGCCTTATCAAAAATCCTCTTATAAAAATTTGTGTAAAAAAGTAGCGTATCAGTAATAGCGGCTTCCCACGGCCGGCGATATTGCGCACGTAAGCGGACCAGCACGCACCACGCACCGTGGGAAGGGTCTCGTCCGTGGTAGCACAGGCACGTCCGTGCTGGTGCGTCCTATTCATCTAGAGTCGGTAACATCAAAGGTGCGGTACATGCTCGTGCGACGCGATCCTAGCGCGTCTGTGTTTTAACAGACGACAAGTGCAAGTCAGAAGTTTTTCATTCGCAGACACGAGTAGTTGTCTGTAGTGTTGTCAAAGTTGTTTTGCAGTTTTTTGCTGAAAAATGGAATGGACAAACGAAGTTGTTTTTGATTTTTTAAACTTGTATCAAGATGAACGAAGTTTATGGAATTCCATGGCGCCAGAACATAAGAACCGGAACGATGCATACGATGCATGGAACCGAATAAAAAATCAATTGAAGAATATTACTATTCCGATTAAAGAATTAAAAAAGAAGAGAGATAATTTAATGTCGACATACAGAAGGCAAAAAATAAAAGTTAGAAAATCGATGGGAGCTGGTAGTGGGGCTGATTATGTTTACAAGCCTGAGTGGCCTTTTTATGATATAATCAAACACTACTGTCACGGACCTACACAGACTGTCACGGACCGTAGGAAGAGCTCTGTCTGCGGTGCGTTGCCGTTCGTGCTGATCGGCTGTCCGCGATTATCTGTAGAATTGCCGATCGTGGGAAGCCACTATTATACGTTACATGATGATATAATTAATTTTTTGAAAGATTATTGAATTTGAAATTGATTTTATTGAATTCATTTTATTAATTCTTATGACATTATTAGAAAAGAAAACAAACTTTGATTTTTCCGCTAAATGACATTGAAAATTTCGATTTTAGCTATCATCAAAATCGGCTTTCAAATGCAAGTAGTTATAGCTCGGGTTCTATAAAATCTACAAAAATAAAAAACGGGTTTAGTAGGCGGTACTGTAGACTAGCGCGTAGCTTTATATGAATCAACAAAATTGCTTTTTTTACGATTCTCTTTACAATTTTATAATAGTTTCAATCAAATTTCTGATCAGAAGCAATTTTTGTAGTTGTATCTTTTTTAACCCGTTTTCGTACATTATCGCATTCGTTAGTAAGATCTTTTTTCTGTACAAAAAATTATAGAACATTTCAAAAATCAAAATAACAAATTATGATGAGTTTTGACATTTTGTATTGTAACAATATAATTTGCTTATAGAGGGCTAAAAGGGGGAACTGAACAACTACTCTGCTTGAATATAGGGTAAGTGAAAAAATTGAAACGTTTGCGAACGCATACTCGTGTTTTGCTTGGAGAGC